TAACCAAAATCTTAAAGTTTTGTTCGAAAGATAAACTCTTATAATTATCTTATTTCAACAGATATAATATTTAGAATAAGGAATAATATTCGTTGATTTAAGTGAGTATAATACATAATCATAATCATTACATCACGCCATTTATCCCCAAAGGGGTAGGCAGAGGTGCACCCTACGGCACTTAATGCCACTGTACAATGTAACACCCACTTTTCACTATTTATGTTATGAGTCCTATTTAATAGGGGGTGAGTTTATTGTCATATACCGAGCACAATTCCAGACTCCGCGCTACTATTGAGATTTTTTAAAACACGTTGTCCGATTCGGACCCGAGACCTCTTGCCCGGCAATCGGACTTGTTGTGTCTACTCGGCCAACGAGGCTTAGTATGTAAACAGCTCACTTTTAAATAGGTAGTTAAATATTATTGATAAACTAACAATACTAATCAGAAAAATGCAATTTTAAACCAAAGAGGTGTGACGATGAAATCATTGTCTGTCTTTATACGTTTTATTTTATATCTATCAGATATATGAAGATAATACATGAAGATAGAAGTAACTAAGGGGTGTGTACGTGACCTATCGCAGTTATCGCATCAATGCAAATAATCTCAGACAAATAGATGACGTTATTCATAAAATTCACACCTAATTGTGTCAATAGAATCGAACAGACGACTATAAGAGAACAAATTTTTATGGATATTGTGTGAATGAATTTGAAAAATAAATGGATAAAGTAACTGGATATTATGGAAAAAAACTAGCCATTGTGAAGAAAAGTAGTAGAGAGAGAGTAGAGACTGATATAGAAAACATAAATCAATACTTATAATATTATAAAGCTGAAGTGTTTGTTTTTTTGTTTGTTTGTTTGAACGCGCTAATCTCCGAAACTACTGGTCCGATTTATAAAAATCTTGCTGTGTTGGATAGCCCATTTATCGAGGCTATAGGCTATAAAATATGACGCTATGATTAATAGGCGCCGAACAGAGCGGTTGAAACCGCGCGGAAGTAGCTAGTAAGACATATTGCGCATTTTAAATACAAATGGACAGTTGAAGTTAAGTCTAGTAGTGGTTGGAAAGGTAGATCTTTAAGGCATTCTAAGGGCTTAGACTTTCTAAATTGTCTATGAAGAACGAAAATGACACTTTTATTTTGAGGGCGGAATCATCCAATGACTTCTCCCACTCGGGTGAGGCGAGAGGTGTCAGACTCTTGCTGACTAAAATCCACCCCGATCCTACTCCTACACTTCGAGCCGGAGTCCCGGTAACCCGTTAAGTCTTCCGCGGCTCCGTATCGGCATCAGCCCTATTGGGCCCAGTCTGTGGTGGTCTGATGTCTATGAAAATGACACTGTAACGTCATATTTCAAGCAATTGCCGTGAACAAAAGCGTAACGTTCAATGCTCACTTTAGTATGATTGAAACATATTTAATGAAAACACATTATTATCTACGTGTACGTACTGTATAGGGGTTTTACAAAAATATTTATCAAGCTGTTATTCAGTCTGTAAGTAGATAATCTTATCGTAGATACTGGTTTTAATTCATAGATATTTTTCCATTTGTTTTCAAGGGTGAGGCTAGCTACTTGATAAGGACTAGAAGTCGTTACTAATATCGATGATGACAAGTTCACTGCTGGACCTGGACTCCTATATAGAAGGGGAGTTTGTTATATCTCTATACTTTACTTTGCAGATATTTTAGAAGGATCAGCAGACTAAGGCAGAAAAATCTGTTTTAGAGATAAAATAGGTATTTTCTTTTTCATAATAACTATCGTGAATTTATAAAACATATTGAATTAACTAAAAATCACGGTTTACTTATGTAAATATACTGAAATAAGTTTTACTGTAGGTAGGCTGCGCGACGTCTCCGCGACCGCGCAAGCTACTTATGAGGTAGAATCCCTCTGTGACTCGAAACTAGTAGACCTTTTCTCAGAATATTTTACTTTCAAAAACTGTTATTTTTTGGTAATTCATATATTGTCTTATGCGGATTTTATCACTCCTGCTAGAAGAGTAAGGTAATAATAAATGTAATCATTTCTGACGTCACTACATAGAAAATTAGGACCGGCATTACCCAAAATATGTTTTAATTACTGAAGTCCATTTAATTTGAGAAAAAATGCAAATCATTAAAAATATAAATTAGACCCTTTAATCTAAATCTATTTTTGTACCTGTCATTATATATTCCATTCATAAATGTAATACAATTAAAACACGATTAGGAATCTTACGTTACGTGAGTGAAGTCATAAGTATAGTTAATTTAGGCTAAGAAGATGCATTTTAAATGTGTTGTTGATACAATTTAATTGGCGTTAGACTACATAGTTTTCTAGTGCCATGATATAGGTATAGAAAATTGTAGGACTAATTAAATATTCTATATTATTTTTCATTTGCGAAAACTTGAAGGTTGATAGTCCTTCTTACTGATTTCGATAACGGCAACCCTTAATAGCTATCTGTGTCGTGTGCCCTGATGTGGCTGGCCAGGCCGAATTTAGTTTTGAAAATCCGATCACACCTAGAACAGTAAAGCTGTAGGTAAAAAGCTGCTGAATATTAATTTATGGAAATACTAGCAACCTGCCCCGGCTTCGCACTGGTGCAATATGCATGTATTATACATATACACCTTCCTTAATAATCACTCTATCTACTTAAACTGTCAAACACCAAGCGGACACCGGTGACCGCAACCTATTGTTCTATAATTGTGTCTACAAAACCGGTACTCGACGAGTTAAAAAAACCACATCAAAATCCGTCGCGTAGTTTTAAAGATCTAAGCATACATAGGGACAGATAGACGGTGGATAGCGACTTTGTTTTATACTATGTGGTGATTTTCAAACAGTATAATTTAATTTTCCTACTAACATTAATAGTCGCCAGATACGTGAGAAACGACATGTTTTCTTTCAATAATTAGTAAGATATTAACGAATGACCATTAGGGATTTCTTAATGCCAGCATCTAAAGTATTAAAATAATTAATGTCAGTTGCTCATTTTCCCCAAATTAGAACGTAATTTTTATTTATATATATTACAACTATTTTCTATTGCCATATATAATATTTTGTAACATACTTTAATTATTTGACCTCTTAAATAAAAATTGAATTTATAGATTGCATCTGCACTTGTCATAAGTTTTCTTCTAATCAATCTTACATTTTTCTTCAATAAATACAAAACCATAAGAGTTCAAAACTTATTATATAGCTATGTTAATATGCGAGCATATACTTCGGATGAAATTGTCAATAGCATCCGTCTCCAATGGTGCATTAAAACCCACAGTTCGTGCAGTGATAATGAGCTCACGACATATTCCTTAGTCAAGCGGATCCTAGAACTGAGACGGGAAAACTAAATGCGGTGAAGGTGGTATTGAAGACTTCTGTCTATGTAAATATTATTTTATAGCCGTAACGGCAGTGCAGAATTTCTCACCACTCATACTTTACTCTCTTTGAGGGTGTCACAGGAGCTGAGTACAGAACTACCCATTTTTGAAAGGAACCGGGCCGCATCGTGGCATCGCTCTCTGATAAAACTGAGCTCTTTAAATCTATTTGCCTAATCTCTTGTATAGAAAATGTAATGAATATTCCAATACACATCTTTCGTTTATTCTTCAAAGATATTTTATTCTCTTATCGAAATTTGTTATGTGTATAAATGAACATAAGTTTAGAGGTAATTTCATTTCTTTTCAACAATAGATTTTAACAATTAAGTCCAAACAAATTGTATGTTTATTTATTTTTACCTTAAAATCCGCCCCTAAACTGTGTTAGCCCGGGTTACCGAGGCTCCGTCTCGACGTGCAAGAGAAGGAACGGGGTGGTTTTTAGTCAGTAAGAGTCTGACACTCCCTCCCGCCTCACCCTGGCGGGAGCAGTCATTCGATGATATTCCCCCCTTAAAAAAAACTATGTTAGCCAACTGTTGTATATAAATGAGAATATCTTTAAAAATTCAAGTTAAGAAATAAAATCATCTGTGAAAAATTAACATGAAATATATAAAATTTTAATAAGACTCGGTACTGACTACTTTTGTACCTAACACTGGGTTACTTATGGGCAGGCGTGCTCCATCGATGGTCACATTATCGCTTACCACTAGACGAGTTTTGGTCAAACGATAACCTATAAATATAAAAAAGAAATTAATCATGAAAATCAAACCCGGGATCTGCACTTCAGTAATCGTTAACCAGCATAATAATATAGATTAATAGGTGTCTACACGGATATTTTTAAAAATAATTTATCTTCGTAATCTATATATATCTTTGTCCTATCCAGGATCCAGATATATTTGATAGCGATCTCATTATGTCATTTACTCATCACATCATTGGTAAAAAATAGACGGTTTTTTTATTTGTGACAGAAGCATTCAATTAATTATGATAATTCAATTTCTATATCTGATAAAAAATGAAATCTATTGTTACGTAGTTAGAGTATGATTTGGTTCAATTTGCCATTGAAAATTGAGTAATGATATGAAATATTGTGTGTTTTACAATGAAATATTTTATACAAATATGTTAACTTTTAGATCTTGCAAGAAGTTGTGTATATGATATATAGTAAATTAATTTGAAAACGTAAAGTACCTATCTCTATCAGATTTTTTTAGAATTTTATATAAAATAAAAAAATAAATTGTATATGATAATAATTAATGCTTAAAATATCTATTAAATAATATATTTTACATTATATTTTTCCTTAAATAGACTCCCATATATGAAAAAAAGATTCACTATCTTATCAACAAGAGCGAACTTTGGTCCCCACGATAAAATGACGTGATAAAACAATATATATATTTATCGTAGCGTATAATGATAAAATATTAAAAAGATTTACGTCTTTGTATGTAGACTGGTGCACGGGAAGCAGCTGGAGACTGCTTTATAATAATTATATATTAAGAAAATAATAGTGATACATATCGCTGCGGTTAAATAATAACGATTATTTTATGGTTATTTTTAATTATTATTTTTCACATTGATTAGGAAGTGATTTTTAATAATATTTAAATACTGATAGTATTCTTTGTTGGTTGGTTTATGGACTTGTTTTAAAGAAAAATCGTAATAATGGTGTCTGTTGGGGATTATTACTGGAGAAACTACGGGGGATCTTACTATCTGGCTCAGGATTATCAGGTAATTAATTTTAATATTGCGTAATAATGAGAACTACGTATAAAAATTAAGATTATTATATTTCTGTTATATTGCAATTCTGTTTTATAGTAGCCTTATATTGTTATTCTATAACATTTAATATTATAACTTATACATATATGATTCGTTTTTAAACTTATTTATCACTATGACTAAAAAACATGGCCGCCCTTTCTTTTGACACTGACATTAATTGGTAATGAAAAGAATGACGTCACAAACATGAATGTGAATGGTTAAATTCAGGCTTTACCATATGATAGTATAACTTTAGAGAATATGCAATATTGTAATGACATTGAAATAACTTAGTAACTTAAAATCGAATAAATTGTTTAATAGTTCAGTAGTATGTACCTACAAAGTGTTAAATGTTAATGATAATGAAATTCTATATTGTATAAATAAATCTAGATATTTCTGAAATATGCATGAAAATGCTAATCTGAACTTAATTGTCAAGTCTACTATGTGCTAACTATGTTATGCTTCGTAATACTGACAAGACAGATTTTCCCAAGACGATGAATGCACATATATGTATATATAACTATTTAAAAGAATTACACACGACGCGTTTGATTGTGGGTGCTTTATGAATGGGTTTTTGCAGTGACATAAAATAAAACAGTAACTAGCAAAGGCGGCATTCCCTGTTATATAAGTATACTATATATAAATAGTTTTAATCCTTTTTGCTCGACCAAATCTTTCACACATGTCTTCTTACGAAAAATGTGAGAAAATGATCATTTTAACCTTCGACGTTTTAGTGAATATGTATAATGCAAATTCTATGATTGCATAATGATTTTAAAATTCTTTTATTGAATCCTGTATCGCGTCACACAGTTTATACATGCGGACATTCGAACAAGTTTCAAATGTTTTAGTTTTTTTTTTTAATAATCTAGTTTATATTTCAAAATACGGAACTCCCTGTGAGGTTTGATAAATTCATTCACTTATAACAAGGACATTAATGAAATATAATAGATCTTCAAATCGGAACAAAAGCGTTCAGAATCCATGTGCAAAAACATTGCAACCCGTTGATGTCTTTTGTACTGCGTTTCAAAATTTTCAGCAATACCAATTTAATCAAAATAATAATACACAAATAGTAACAGAACGTGTGAACAATGTATGTATTATTATTTTCTCACGTGTAGGATATTCTGACGTATTACTGTAAGTATGTGTGTGTATGGTATGAGTGTTTTTGTCTGTGTTCAGCTATTATTACTGAATGAATGAAGTACGGAAGGCGCGGAACGATAACGTCATGTCGAGCACGACTCACGATTTATTTACCCATAATAATGAGGGTGGATTAACCCCAATTTTATGTAACATATAGATTATCATAACTGTCAAGGCAGTCAAGATTATATTTGAATTTATTTGCATTTATTATGTCATAGTACCTTTATATGCATTCCGTTGGATATTATTATCTTGAAATGTGTATTATTATTAATACTTGGCACTGTTTTATAATTACGCGAATTATATTAAAGACTTACAGTAATAAAGCAAATATAACTTGAATTAAGTAATTCATACTATTAGTAACATTAACTAAATTAAACATTTTATTGTATTCAATAAAGAATTGCATTTGATGGTCAACACTGACGTAGACCGTACTGTATTTTGTTTACGGAAAGAAATATAACAGTATCGAAAACTAATTAATTTAGGATGTGACAAAAAATGGCAGGTACAGAACAATGAAATGTAACTGAAACCAAATCACTTTTTAATTTTGTCTTTTCATTTTAACTCTTTTCATAAACGTCATAAAAATGTAATTAAGTGATCTATGACGTGAGACGACGTTATAACTATGTGAGAAGTATTTGTTATATTAGTTTAGTGGCAGCGTACTTCCCGTAGTGACGTAGCCGCTCATTGAGGCAAAGCCTTCGTGCGCGGGCGCCGCGCTCAGTGGCTGTGTGATCTATCCGCCGTACACACGCACTCATGTTGCCAAAAATATATATATGCCGGGAATATTTACATTTAAACTTTATTATATAACAAGTATATAAATAAAACAAGTGACGGAGATTTTTCTGGATTCTGTGCATTGTTCTTTCAACGGGCAGACACGCCGGCCGGCATTCTAACCTCTACGCTATGGATGCAGCGTAAGCGCACCCCTGTTCGGATATTTGACTGTGTGAGTGGATTTTGTACATTCAGTGAGTGGGGCTGAAAGCCTGCTGAAGCAAGTGAGTGAGGCATATAAGCTTAAGTTACCACATGGACTTAAATTAACTTAACTTCTAATTTGTTAAATGCGAATGTTATTGTTGTTGTTTACACTTCGACAGAACTATCTCGACTTTTAACAATCGATTTGCTTGTGAATTTGAAGCATTAATTTGAATGTTTTACATTTTGAGGTTATATAGTAACGGTATCATAACAAAAGCAGTGTCAAAGAACTAAAAGCCGGTTACATATATATATAACCTAGCCAGGTTGTATACTACCTACATAATACAGTTTATATTGAAGGATTTGAAGCCAAGTATATTAAACCAACGGTGTTTTGTTCATAAACTCTCGTTTTGTTGAGATTTATATTTATTGTAATAGTTCGAACAGAAGTTATTGTCAATCAACGCTGATGAAGCTAACCAGAACCAGGTCGAACAATTAAACTAAATTATTGTTATAAGTTTAAATGAAACAGTAAATACTAGCTAACTGTAAACTATAAATATTGGAGATCACAATCTAAAGAGGTTGTATTGAAACCCAATCAAGGAGAGTGACAAATAGTACTTATACATATTTTAATAGAAACCTCAATATATACTTTTGGTTTACTCATCAAAGCTGAACTGGGAATCATACCTGTAATCTAAATTCTTTATAGTCACAAACGACAGACACAAGCCATCCAGCAAAACTTGACATGACAATAAATTTAACAGTTTGATACCCGTTTAATTGACAAACAACGGTTGGGAAATACCAAATGTATTTAGTTTAGTATTAGATATAATATATACTAGATATATACAGTCACTGGAATGACATGTTTTATATACTAAAGAGTATATAAAGCTAGTGTTCTTGTTCCTAATATGGTCGTGCTGTGGTATTTATGCTAATTTCATAACGTTTACTGTTTTCTATTCTGTTATGATCGTAAGTAGTTTTATTTCTTAGAATTTAGATAGTATTTTATGCGTTTCATGCTGTCGTATCTTTTCTAAGGAGGTTAGAAGATGAAACTTAGTTCAAACTATGAAGTATTGTTTGATAATAAAAACTGTAATATACGTTGCCAAGTCATTACAAGACAATGACTGTAGCTTTGATTCTTGTATCGAGAAAAGTTTCGTTGGATCATTGGATTCATTCTTAATTTTAAAATATTTTCACATTTTATGTTTACACAATTTCTTCTTTAGTCTTGTGCCACAATACCTAATTCTTAGAAACATGATTGTCGTAGTTCAAGTTTTGGTTGCTGTACTGACAATATCTCACGAAGAAGGTGCTAGACTAAAGGGGGTAACCCCAGCCATAATAATTCATTGTAATGGCTCATTAAAGTTAATCTCTCCCAGACATCTTCATTTAAAAAGAACAAGATTTACTCTGGTCTCTGAGTTACAAATTAAATCTTAAGTTTTACTAGAGTCACGCATAAGTAGTTTTCTAAATAAGTATAGTATTATATTGCTTATTTGGTGCTGAGATAAAAAATTGGAGCACTTAATTTTGACTTTGATTTATTTTTGTCGAGATAACGTTGTGCAAATATAATGGAACGACATTTTTTTTAAAGTTTTTGTTTGATAGTTTTATGTACTGTATAAGTAATGGGAAGCTAGGCATGGATGATGGAACACAAAATTGATGAAGGGTGATCGATTTGAAATCAATCTTGGTGCATTTTATAATCTTATTCTTGAGGAAGCTTAATGGCTAGAGGTAGGTATATGCGCTATCACATCACTATATCTATAAATATAAACATGCATTCTATATTGATCTTCGAAGCATATATATAACTGTAATTTAACATCTTTTCCAATATAACGGAAACTTTTCTAATCAGTTAAAATGTTTAATAAGATATCTGTGTTTATAAACACGAAGAGTTATTGGCTTGCTAACGGCTTGACTCTAAAAGCAATGCAATAATAAATTTTTTGTTTTCACACTACGGGAAGTCTGTTTTCGCACTTCTGTTTTGGCGTAGCAACGATGGAGATTCATTGCGAAGTCTAATTTTAATTCACGTAGTGTGTGAATGATATCCTTTGAGAATTAATAACACCCATAAAACATACTTCTTCTACATAACTCTTAAACATAATTATTGGTATTTTTTATAGATTTTCCTCCAAATTATAAAATATAAAAAGCAATCTTTTCGAGAGATACGGATGACCAAAGATTTATAGTTCTTTAAACTCAACGAATTTACTGGTCGCTTCCAAAACTATGTCATTTAAAAATAAACCATTTAAAATTGTAACAAATTTGTATGCATTACAAGCATTTTTTTACTACTATAGACAGTTGAGCGAACTTTAGTGGGAAACCCAAGGTCTGAACGAACTGGCTCTGGTAGTCACGCTCACTCTCAACGTTGATTGGTCGACAATGCTATGACGTCAATAGACATTGTCGGCGAATTTTTTTTAAAAACGGAACACATACTTCCTACAGATTTAGCGTTTGATATAAAAGTTGGTATTGTTATTTGGAAGCTTGTTCGGTTTTTAAATGTCTATTATCTTGGAACATATTAATAATATGATTAACGGTTGTAATAATACACATTAATCGTAATAATAGAAGTTTTAATACGAACAATAAAATAGCAGAAAACTAATATAGATTTCTTTACATCAGATCAACAGAATATATTGCACGTAGATCAGTTACAATGACAATCTAATCATTATAACCTAAAAATTAAAATATAGTTAACTTGAAGATTGGGGTCAAGACATTTGAACTCTGTATCACTTTTTACGCTGTTTATTGCTACGCTGTTTATTGTTATGCTGTAAACACACGGTCATTGGCACTGTTACCAAACAACCAGCATTGTGTTGTCATGGTAACGATGAGTGCAAAACCTCTTTTATAATTGAAAATACTTATAACAAACAAACACAGGGATAATAAAATTTAGTTTTCTATTGTTGTAAAGCTATTTGTTTAATTATTAGCAACTTGACATTTTGTTTATTGATAATGATAAATAATGTTATTGTTAGAATGTAAATATGAATTGGATCATTAAAGCCAGTATATGATGACCAACTTGTCTTAACAACAAAGTCGAAATTAAACAATTTATGTTTGTTATTATTACTTACATACATCATAATATAATTGGGTTTTTAATATTTGATGGGCCGACGTTTGGCCTCTATCTCACCTGGTGGTAAGTAATGGAGCACCTACCCGTAAGCAACCTATATAAATATTATACTAATGTATTTCTATTCAGCACACTAATAAATCTAACATTATCTTATTACATTCTCGTAGGATTATTCCTACGTAATAAAGCTTCTTGAAATGAACTAGAAATACTTGTTACCTGTTTACAATTATGACAAATGTTTCACTATAAAATTGAAACTACGTGAAACTGTAAATTCCCATATCCGTTTGATTAATTCCTAGAAAAATCTAGGAATAAATTACAAGTTAGATGTTAATCAGTAGTAACAAGTTCGGAAGTCCGGATATGTTTTGTGGTTGTAAATTACTGTTGACGCACAGAAGTGACTTGCATTTAGGTATTTTTTGTTGAGTGGCCTATTTTTAGGACACTTTGTTTATTAATCTTTGAGGTCGTTGTTAGGCTTTGTTTTAAGATTAAAACAATGGGTTAATTATTTTGTGATTATTTGTATGTTAAATCAAGCTTTTATACTGTTAAAGACATGGGAATAGATGCTCATTTACAAATAGTTATGTAGAATGCATATGTATCTAATACTGAATTAGATGTTTTACATAATTTCGAAATTAACAATTTCCTAGGTATTCTTATATTTTTTCTCATTTACAGTTTCCAATATTACAATAAATCATATGTAGGTACATATTAATATTCATAGAAAATAACGGGAAGGTTTGTAGATTTTTCTTACGCCCGAATCGTTAAAAGCCACTCATTTTAAATTGTACATCGTGCCATCTCTGTCATTTTACAAAGAATTTGTAGAGACAGAGCTAAACTTCACCGCTTGAAAGCAAAGTAGGCACTTTGCTTTGCTTGTATATGAGATACAATAGAAAATATATTGTGTCTCACGTGGATCCACGCTTAGACAAACGCGACTTAAAATTGAGTCGCCTTTCAGTATTCAGGAGTTAAAAAACAAAACTAAACCTTCTAGTCTAAAAGATTTTGATCACATACGATGGATTGATTACGTTCACATTGACGTAATGGACCTGTTAATTCAATCACGATTTATATAACACATCACATACTCATATATATATTACACATATATATGTATGTACATATTGACTGTAGGCTAGACGTAATAGACTGCAAGTAAATATTGTTTGAACGTTTTTAAAAGACTGTGCCTTATACAGGTGCAGATTCTGCATTTTTTACTTAACATTAAATCGGTGTATATTATTTATTGCTGTATAAACGAAAATATCTATATAACAAAAAAAATATGAATCGATTCTTCTTATATAAAATGGGTTGGAGAAAATAGAAGAAAGAGATAAAATAAAAAAAATGTTACTGGGTGAAAATGAAATATATGTACATTGAAATGAATGTCGTTTTATCATTAATCTTATGGAATGATTTGACGAACCGCACAACAGAATTAAAATCGCACAATTAACATAAATCGTGCAAAAAGTAATAAAAAAAAAGAAAAAATCTAAGAAATTCAAAGGTCACATTTATTGAATTCCTAAACGTCATGTTTTAAATATTTAGTACATAATGTTTGACATAATAACATTATTATAATTATATGGGTTGATTAAAACGATAATATAATTTGTAGACATTTCCGCATGCTAAGACACTTGGCAGACTTTTAAATAGGTATGTGTTACCGTGTGCAAAGCAAAATATAGTTATAAAAAAAATTATTGTTTTTTTTAACATTTTTAGGTAGAATTGCGTGATGGATTATTCTTTTGCCATATACTAGAGCTAATTCTACAAGTTCTGTATTGGTATAAAGGTTGGAAGTTAAAAAATAATCTATTTTGAAAAATTCGAGATCACGTAAAAATCGGTTCATTAAATCGTTTATTAGGCTATTTTTCTATCATCAAAATTTTCTATAACACTTGATTATCATAAATATTAATATCTGTCATATCTAATAGATTTGGTTATTTTTTTACAAAAAAAATCAACGGATTAACAAGCCGCCGCGCCGCTCTAGTAAAATATCAAAACAATTAAATAAAAATTCCTAATCACTAGCCGAAGATAGTGACATCATCGAGCACTTTATAAAATCATAACCAAGACCAGTTCAGTTAAAAAAAATATACTAGATTTTACTACTTTATGATAACATCACGAATTTTACTCAAATTGGACTCTAGCACTCATTAAGTTAGAATTCCTTTTTGTTTGTATCTGTCCAGTTAGAATGCACGAATAAAAATATAATTTGAAATTATATGGCGTTGCGTTTTTTCTTGCCAGTATGATTTTGTCTACACATATTATAATCATCCATAAAAAAAAGAAAATGTAATATTTTTTTCAATAAAACTTATTTAAAAAATAGAACGCGAACTTTGTTGTATATAGGTACGGGAACTAACTATGTATATTGTACACAGAATTATAACTGTACAGCATCTCCAGTATAATATAAAAAATGGTAGAAGGGTAAAGATTAATTGTAGCAACTCATAGATACTGTATCAATTGACTACGGAGAACAATTACACCACAATGCAGATGAGCGACGTGAGAATTATGTAAATTGTTTCAACAATTGTAAGGAATTGTGGAAAAAATGAGTAAAATGGTGATACCGGTTGATTATCCGGACTGACCGGTTCGGAATAGACAGATTTTCGCTAAGGAAATGTCTGAGAAGGCAGTCTTGTGTTTAGTGCGCGTATGATGGGTCTGTCTTTGCTCAGAGTAAGTTTGTATATCATTTTAATCTATTTTTTAAGAAATTTGGTAATAGTATAAGACAACATAAAGGTCATCTTTGTGATTAGGAAAGAGACGTTATTTTTGGTGTGATTTTTTTTTATAAAACAAATTCAAATTCGTCTAGAAACATCGTGGGCTTGCCGTCGATAGTGTTATATAGTGAGCCATTAAAAGGGATTTATGATTACAAAATTTATTTGATAAGTAAAACTGGAAATTTTAGTCACGTTACGCTTATGTTTTTTTATTCCATAGCAACACCATTAAAAACAGATGTTTTCATAACATACCAAAATGTTCTTTCCCGAGTGCCATCATCCGTAAATATAGTTCCGATTTTTTATCACATCTCAGCTTGAGTTATTAGCAAACAATCTACATATATTTACATATATTTTTCAAACACTCGTATGAATTCTGAGAACTGGACACTATATCATATGATCATAACATACTCCTAAAATACGAAATGTTAACAAATTACATATTTCTAATCTTATTTACTTATTACCACCTAAGTATTACTTTTTCAATTATTTTGTTATTGAACCTACGCAATTATGAATCATTACTAAGTTTAGACGTTTGACGTAACGGTTAGAAAAATATTCAACATGGATGTTAACCATCTGGATGTTAACATGTTCGCCAATGACGTTAGCGAACGATGACCCACGGGACTCTACAAAGTTCTAAAGATTACAGGGTCAAGTTCATAACCAAGTTCATAGACCTCCCAACTCATGTATCTGGTGCATGAACATCTCAGATACAGAAACAGAAACAACTACGAGACACTACCAAGACTGAATTAACACCTGCCCTTAACAGACGCGTGTGAAATCCAAGAAATATCGACTGAAGTCGTGACTGATGGAACATGTACATTTGTAGCTAATATACTTAAATCGTTTGATAAAGTGGAATCATTGATAAATATCTAAAGTTGGTTTTCTTTTGTTCACAGATGCCACAAACAGTGCCCCGGTCCGGGTGCAGCCCGCCGTCGGCTTCTCAAGGCGAGAGAGCGGTCCCCGGTTCCCCCGCTGATCTACAACATCTTCTGCGCCTGCTCGGCGCTGCATCCCCTCCAGAACCGATGCTTCACTCTCCCCCAAACCCACACAACAAACCACCCCCACCCTATCCAGAAGATAACACAAACAACGTTTTCTTGGAACGCCTATACGACTTTGAGGGTTACCCTACTCCCTCGCCATCTTCAGACGAAGGTTCAATTCCAGCAGTCACCCTGCAGCCTTCATCGCCCTACAGTTCTCTTCAGTACTCTCCACAAGTGTACATCAAAGAAGAACCTAACAGACTTGCCGTGCCCGGATTTGCCTCCCCCTATCCCTTATCTCCGTCAGGATCGTGCGTATCATACGGAAGTCACAATCAATACTCATCACCAGTCCCACAACACGAGGAATACATAGATATAGAAGAACTTCTAAAAGAAAATCAGATTTTACAAGAAAGTGTACAACACAGTTACATCACACCTAAAATCGAAGTTGAAGAGCCAAGAGATCACATTCTGCTGCGATCAGCACTAGAAGACACATCTTTTCAGAAGAGATTAAATCTCAGACCAATTCCTTTAGAATTGGGAAGTGTGAAAATGGAAGAGAGCAGTGGAGGCGACGATTCTCTAGTGGCACCAGACATCGATCGAGTTCTCAGCATGGCCATCGAACAGACCAAGAGAGACGTAGACAACACATGCACAGTACTTGGAATCTCACCAGGTGAGTTAAAAACGTCAATAACATTATTCACTTTGATTGTGAGTTGTGTTACGTGCTCATACATTTATGAACATTCATATAATGATTTACAATGACATGTCATGGGAATGCTGTGCTGTATGTCGTACATGATTACTATTATCTAATATTAATTACGATCTCGTAATTAATAGTGACGTCACTTCGTTGTTGGCTAGGCAAAAAACGTATCAGTACGTACAAAATATGTTAGCTACTGTCGAGTATAACACTATTATAAACATAAATGATTTCTTAGAAGTAGCTCAGAGCCGATTACGTAAGCTGTTTATGTTGGCCCAGCGATGATCTCGTCTTATATTAGTGACGTCCTCGCTATATACACATTGATTGGATATGCAATGTGAACATGCGAAACTTGGTTCACATATTCTTAGAACGCATTTTCTTCCTTGACTCTGTTAATTAGTAAGTCAATGATTAATGATTACAAACAAGGTATAATGAGATTACGGTAGAATGGACGTGACGATGTAAACTGATTTAATAGTCAATAAGAAATGCAAGAAGTGAATTTTGTGATGATAATTAGATGGGCATATAAGTCTTATTAGAGCATAAACGACTAGCAGAAGCTAAAGTGACTAAAGGTAATGAAAGTGCAGTAGATAATAGATTATTTAATTTTAGATCCAATGCAGTGGAGCACTGGGGACGTGAAGTCATGGGTGATGTTCACGTTGCAACATTACAACCTGCCAATGGTACCCATGGAAAACTTCACAATGGATGGCGCAGCGCTTGTAGCACTAACAGAAGAAGAATTCAACCACAGAGCACCTCAGGTACTATTTATAATCACTTGTATTTACTTAAGTTTATCGTATAACCCTGGGACGGATTGAGGGCGTTTGTAAGACCAAAGTCTATACCACTGATTCACATATTACTGATAATACAATGTTTACTTAAGTAGTATCAATTAAAATAGTCTATGTAGGAGAAAATATCTACAATGCGTGTTATCTTGGTGTTATCATCATATAAATTCTTCTCGACACGTGTCAGTTGAGGTCAAGAGATACAGAATTATCGCCAGCTGTAACGTCAACGCAGGGGCTTGGGCATTTTTATTTGATCTATTTGTGTTACTCCATTCTAAGTAATATGAAGTTCTGCTCTTTTAAGAACCATTCTTATCACTGTTAGTACAGTATCTAAGAATCTAATGAAAAAATTCTATAAGATGGCATTTTGCTATTAGTATTGTAGCAGTTGCTTAGTCTTCATTCAAAATTTACTTCGTCGTACAAAATTTCTTTTTCATTAATGCCATATTACGGCCAAATCTTCGCCTAATATTACAAACCCTGCTTTTTATATTTCTACATTTTAAAATGCTTACATCATAATTTAGCTAAGCGTGGCTTTTGCACATGCTCGTCGCATTACAAATTGATGAGCATAGATGATTCATGTTTAATCTTATTTACTGACCAAAGAGCAAACTAATTTACATTTTTAATGGACACGTATACCACACCAAGTTCATCTTTTCCTTTGGTTAATTCTTCTATCAGTAAATTTTTATTTTTATCTTATTCTTATGTTTTTATACCTTTATAATTATCGATTATAATCATACTAGAATCATTTTGAAATTCTTTATTAGAATTAATGATAGCATCAGTCATTGATTTAATCACGTTGCTACTTCAGCCTCGAGAGTAAACGATAATATTACTATCAATACTCAAGAGGACGATGATAAGAGAACGAGCATTGTTTTTAATAACAATGATGCAATGAAGTTTATATGACAACTTACTATCTGTTCGAATAAATCGGACAAAAAACTTTACTATGTATCGATAGTTTATTTCTGTTGTAATATTTATCGCTATCAATAATACGTACAACGTAATTCAACATCTTATTTAACCTAACAATGCCATTCATTTAATTGAATTCAATAAAAACTATTATTGTGTACTCGTCGTATCTCATTTTGATGTGGTTGTTATCAGTCATAATATTTTTTTTTTCATAACAGTCATCTTCTTCTGGATATTCAGAGATTGTCTTAAAATGGTCTGTTTAATTTACGTGACTATGAATTCTTATAACTGATGCAACATCTTTAGGTCGTTCTGCTTCCTCATTATCCATAACGAAAAGTTCAACATTAATTGCATTTACGTAATTAGTAAGGACAACGAAAGTAAGGAAATCCGTTAATGCTGACCTGTCTTATGTAACTTCATTGAAGACTAGTCCATTTTCAACGTTTAGTTTTGCAATCATTGTTATGTCATCCTCGTTATTTATTATAGCATGTGCAGTAACAGCAATGGCTGCTACAACATCGATGTGTTATTATATAAGCCTTAAAATCTCAGAAAGTCTAGCTGCACTTTAAACTTCAATTACATTTTTATAAAGTTTATTTTTAACTGGCGATTATTTTATACTTAGTTCGTTTGTAGTTTTATTATTAAACCCAGTAAGTGATTTCTGATTGAGAATAAAAACCATTACAAATAACGATAAAAACCCTATGTATGTGTAATTATGTTCTTTCCCTATGACGATATGAATATAAGGAAAATTTCCTTTAACTACGTAGCAATCATGAGGTCACGTCTTTTTATGGACACACATTTTAATGACGCCATACATGAGTTAACACTTCAACGCTAACAACTTGCAACTATTACGAATAAACAAGCAAAAAATCAAATGTTTTTGATCTTTAGAGTCGTACACTTAGCAGTTCAAAAATGCTTAATCGATTCCTGGTGAGTTTAATTGAAATCTTATTTTGATTGATTTGGTCGGGGATTTTTGGAGATGAAGAGACAAATACATATAAAGATGTTATAAATCCGGACTTTATGTATAGTCCTATACTATACACACGTACACGGTTACATACATTTTTAAGGCAAATTTACCCTAGACTAAAATATAAAAACTTCTAAGTAAGTAGAAAAAAAGAGTGCGGTGTCGTATCGAGCACGGCTGTTCCAATGGGCAGGTATCTTTGTTATCGCACGCGTCGACGAGCCGACTTTCTCTAACCGATGAAAGTCAGCACCCTGGGACCCGTCTGCATACAAATTGCATCTGGTTTGCAGTATAGGATAGGTGTTAAATTAGTTAGGAATTCAGAGATTTGAGATAAAGGGTAGTCAAGTACGTAAACATCGATAGCGTGAATTTTTATATAGTTAGCAAGTTTTTTATCATTTTCCTCGATGAGATTAAATATTGTGAACATGTTAAATCTTAAATAAATAAGGTTTTGAAATAAAATCGCACGAAGAAACATTTGGTTCGGCCAATTTTGCAACTTGCAAAAGTTTTAAAACATTCTGATCGACCGCAAACCTATAAATATTTATCATACGCTACGATTTGGACTTTAAGCGGATCAAATTCTGGTAGCAACGATCAAAAACCCGTTTCTTAATTTACTACCAGACTCGTTAGCTCTACGTTGCTTTGATATAAATTAAGATAAATCCAATAATTTTCTGCCAACTAAACAACTGGAATGATCACTTCAAATGTTGCTTCGTGGAAATTATGCGCAGTTTCTTCGTAATGTGTGCATTTACAGTTCTGGTTTGATCATTGTTTATTTTTGTTTTAGGCGGGAAGTACGTTGTACGCTCAGTTAGAGATCTGGAGAACATCACAGGGGTCTGATCATCAGCAGTTATCAGCTTCACCGATTCCAACACCAGCAGGATTACCGTCTGCCGACGACATGAGTGATGGTGCGTATACTATTATTCTTAGTCTTATGTAATACACAGTCCAATTCTACATTTACAGTTTTAGGTTCTTCTTTTTTATAATACTACCGTATATCATGTTTCTGACATATTGTATAATGCCAATTCCTTTGCAGGGTTGGCAAAGAATCAAGATTTAGCAACGGATAAGATAGGTACTATAAAAATTATATTATCGTCTAAGTCAGCTTTGCACGGCATGTTCTTATCAGTGGTTTAACCTGGAATCATTCTAAATTATAATGTTATTTATCATCAATTCAATCAAAATCTATGCAATAATAGTGCTCTATTGAATGCAGCTACATTAATTTACTTTAAATGAACTAAACTGGCGTCAAACCATGTACGCCGCAATTCTCAAGACATTTATTGGACATCAATTCACCACGATGCTTAATGTTACAAAGTTAATGTTTTCTTGCATGATTGGACTTTAGATACCAATGTATCTGCATGCGTTAATTGCCTATCAAATACTGCCGTTAATATTAAAGCCATCACCATTTGATACATTCATAAAATCTACCATTTTTGTTGTACGATTTGTCATCATTAGATTTAAAACCTTTAGATCCAGTCGTTAAAATGCGTGAAAATACAGACAGATGATTGAAAAGTAGATAGTGCAATACGTGGTCGAATGTAGCACGGCAATGCATCAGTCGCATGCATTGTGCATCCACCGTTACCAACCCACATACGGCCCGTGTTAGAGACAAACGAGCTAATGATGTATAGCCAACATCGTACGCAGTTGTAAACTGACTTTATGAGGGAATTGAAAGCCACGATGTATAGGACGTAATGGGGACAGGCGCGGTCTTTATTGGTGATAAACGATTAGCCAACGATAAGATACGTCTTGAACTGTTCTTTGCGAATTAAGTTTCTTTTGTTGTGTGTGTGACGTTTATCAGGATCCATTTGTAAGGAATTAGAAATTAGTGATTAAGTTTACAACATTTTTACAATTTAAATTACTATTGGGATTAATACGATAAATTATGAGAGCAACTCTTATCTCGATTGCATAAAGATAAACCTTGATACAGCCCAACGGACGAGACTGACCGTCGCCCTTAATGGGTTGACAGTTAGCTTATAAATAAAAAAAGTGTCAGATAGTAGCACAGGAAATTGCGATCGACAATTGTCTCCGACTCAGTTGTCAGTCCACACATGCAGTTTGACATAGAGATTTATATCAGAAAGGCCCTGGACAGTATAAAGTATACCAAAGAGGTTACTGGGCCAAATAGTGAATTCAAAACCCGAACACATTCTTAAAATTCAGAAGTTGTCCAAATAGAAGATTAAGGACAATCACATGTGTTAAATAAGGTTGAGTCAAAAGTAATATCTATTCATTCTAATAAAGCAGAAAGAGAATACGTTATAATCAAAGTATCATATTTGATTACTTGATAATTGCTAGGATCAGGTTTCACGTATTTGCATACAAATGCAATTTATGATAGTTAAAGATCATTCCGCAAAATACCTCCTTGCTTGGAAGCACTAAATTATGTGAATTAAATCTTTAAATCACTGACCGATAAAATGAATTGGATACTAATGTAATATGGAGCCACGCCTAGTTACAGTTAACCCATCAATCAGACGTTTGTCGTTCTATTGCAGTTCTGTCCCTTGCACGTCGACTTCGAATCCATATACGTCAAGTCTTGTTTTTGTAGCATTTCCCGAAGGCCTAGTTCACGCCACCGGACCCGCAAGGTCGTATGCGACCAAGATAAAATTGCTGACAACATCGTGATCATTTTCATTATCACCTTCGCATACAGCTCAAAATACTTTGAAATTTACTTTACCATAACCAGTGTCACTTGCCTCGTCTCTTTTAGTAAGTTTACTCTCATTTCTTTTACATAAGTAATTTGAGCTTTATCGTCTTGCGCACAGACGTGAGTATGGTTTGTAGTAAATCATTGCAATAGTTCCTTCAAACTGTTTGCAATATTCTATTCAGTGATCGGATTTCTTCTCTAAATAGCATGTTGCTATTTAACTCTTAAGAGTGTACGTAGCACGTAGCGCAGCGTTTTGTTTATAAGAAGCGTTTGGTTGTCAGTCTGTTTACATGTCTACAACTGAAGGTCGGTTGCCGTTAATTTGGTCTATGTTTACATCACTACAGAAATAACTGTTTTACTTCAAACATTTTTCTTACAGAAACTTTTTTGTTGCGTTAAATGTTTCTAGGCCTTTATAATAAAGGCGTAGTTGTGTAGAGGCCAGTCGACTAAGCTCATGGCTTCGAGGAAGCCATGAGTTGAAACGACTATCTTCCTAGAAATTGTAGGTACAGTAGACGCGCTGGCTCGTGTTCTATCTGCCCCATTTTCAAAAGCAACATTATCGGCCCTCTAATAGTTCTAAATTGTTAAATTATGCACTTCTTTATGCATTTAGGACGCCTTAGACATACGCAAGGGCTCTTATTCTTGTTAATAATTAGCATTATAGTTTGAATATTAATTATTTTACGCAGTACGGTGGTTAGGAATGCAGTAAATTAGTCATTGACACGATTTTGTTTAGATCTCACAAAACAGCATCTCTTTGAGAAATAAAAACGCCTCAATTGTCGCCTTTACATTTTGAATGCTCAAACTTTTAACACTTCATGTCATTCCATTCGCAAGTTTAACTCTTAGTTTTTAAGATTGATATTCTTTTGCTAATGATAGTCTTCTTTCACAGATGAGGACTCAGAGTCAGCGGGTACGAGTGCGACTGTTGGAGGCGGTAAAGCAAAGACTGGAAGCACACATATACACCTGTGGCAGTTTCTGAAGGAACTCCTTGCATCTCCTCATGTACACGGTTCAGCAATACGGTGGTTAGACCGAAGTAAGTATTAGAATACATAAGTAGATTTACGTAATATCGTTTTGAGTTGATTTGTTTTTGAGAGACATTATTTTAGTGTTGCTATTTAGTTTATTTTTTCTTTTTGGTTGTATAATTTTGCTTTTCAATTCTTTCAGTCTGTTGTCACATGATATTGCATAGTGATAATTTTTATCGATAGCCACGAAATGTTTTCCGAAAATCCCCGACTGATTAACGGTTCAAACGAAAGTCGAGAATTTACACCTTTATTGTATCATTCCTATTTTTAACGATTACGTTCTAGTATTATTGAAATTGTAGCATTTTATCTTTTTATCGAAAGAAACTTTATCTATTGACGTAAGCGGCAATCTTTTGTTTTTAAAATATGTAAGATTAGGAATTGATAAGTAAATATTATCTATGATTAGATCCAGAACTTACAATGATATCATCCATATTGTTTTGTGAATAGGGTCATATGAATTTTCCTATAATGTTGTACAATTTGTACAATATTATACAATTTATCAGACTCTTGAATGACGTAGTAAGTTTGGCTTTTCGTCAATTAGTATATTTATCATTGATTTGAACAGGTATGTTTTTAGTTTTATATGAATTAAAATATATCTCTTTCGAAAACAGATTTAGAATGGAAAATAATAGAAATTTTTCTAGCGTTTTCCATAAACAGCAAAACTAGCCAGATAGTCTAGCTATCAAATGCATAAATACTTACAATATTTACATTGTTTAATGCAATTTGAACTTTAAACTGCTGACAAATAAAAATACTTATCCAATAAAGCAAACAACTTAACCTAATAAATTGTAAATTATTTTGTTAGTCGTCAAGTAAACAATGAAATTGTAGTAAATATTTTATGTTTATTACTTAATTGGTATCAGGCTTGCTAATTAGTTAATGATAAATTACAACAACAACGTAAATATTGTTAATATTTATGCATTTGTAATAGTTAATATTACGCAGTATTTATCCCGAGAAAAATTATTTCGTCATTGTCATTTTAACATAACATCACGACTACTTCCCCGAAGGGGTAGGCAGAGGTGTACATTAACGCCGCTGTACAATGTAACAAGCACTTTTCACTATTTATGTTATGAGTCCCATGTAATAGGGGTTGAGCCTATTGCTATATACTGGGCACATTTCCACACTCCGTGCTACTACTGACATTATTAAAAAACCCAGTAGTATTTTGCCCGACCCCTGCATCGAACCCGAGCCAGTCGCACTTGCGACCACTCGGCTAATAAGGCAGTCATAGTCATTTTAACTTTTATTTTATTGTCACTGAATTGATGCGTTTTATAGATTTTCATACAAATCTTATTATGGATACTTATTGAGTTATTCTCCTTTGAAAAACTAGAGCTACAGTTTTTGAATTTTGATTATTTTGTTTATACAACTTATGTATCTTGCCATTCTTAGATAATGTGAGTACATGAGGTAGGACTTTTTTATTCTCAATTACAATTTGCCTCTAGTACATTAGTGATAATATTACGCCGCTCATTCAAGAGTTATGAGACTGATCTAAAAAACCATAACAAACCTGTTTGGTTACTCCAGTACGCGAACAATAAGATAAATGTACCAAACGACCCTTTGTTACAGACCTGTTCTCAGTACAACGAACGCTTGATAACATTATAATTGGTTCAAACACGGAATTAAGAAACTCCTTTGTCTTAAATCGTGAAGGCGTGGTCCGCTATTGGCTATTTTATTACAACAACCGTTTCACATTGGTCGTTTAAATTTTGAGGTCAAGACTACAAAATAGTATTAATATGGACGCAATAAATGTTGATTGTTTCATTATCTGTGTAGGATGTATGGGTTATTCTATTATTGTTTAAAAATTAGAAAATAATAAAATAATATTTAAATTTTTATTCTAGATTTTAAACTTACTTATTTCTTGCTCAAATCCAATTCAATACGCACTCATGTAAGTTTTAAAGTCGGTACATAGTAATCATTGAAACGTGTACTGAATTACTTACATTGTAAGTACCTACTAAATAAAAAACTATGTATTCGCAACTTTGTATACTATAATTGAAAGCTTTTCTTGTTCTATTTCTATGGCTGCCATAGTATGGCAACCAAATCGAAAATATGTCTTAAAACAACAAAACAAAGAAACTTAAAGCGGCACAGATGTTCTCAAATACAGGTTTACATGAATATTTTTCAATTCTAAATCGATTCAGCCACTTCACGATCTTAATCTAAATCGAATGCATCAGCTATCGAATCTAACGCATGGAAAATTCATTTGAACGACATTCCAGATCCAAGGTGATCGAGCCATTTACCATCTGTTCAATAAAATCGTTTTAAATAAAGGTTATCTAGTTTCGTGACTTGTTCAGACGATAGTCCGCCATTGTTTGAATTTATACCATTATTTTGTCCTTTTTGGATCACGAATATTGTTCGTACATCCCCCATTAGTTCGCGTCTCTTTATCACGACTTGTAAGCACAGGTATAGGTACCCAATTGTTGTAAGTGCTGTCTCTTTACCTTCTAGTGACGTTTAAATCATATGAAGGTCTTATTATAAACAGTTGATATTCTCGAAGAATACTACCTAATTAACCTTTTGTTTTTATTATAGTTGTAAGTTGTGACGCACGAAGAGATGACATTTCCATCGCTTCAATTCTCTGATAACAATTTGTTTACACTTATTTCATCATAACTACATTTCTTTAATATCATCGTAAGTTAAAGTAAATTGCTGAATGATGCTAAAAATGGAACTTGATTATTGTTATAGAGCTTTCTGATTTCCAAATACCTTTCACTGTTTTATTCTTAAAGTAGAAATCAAAGAAAACGTTGACGCTAAATACGTGCTATTGTCTTTTCTTACGATTTGTAATGAGTTTGTTAAACTCTTCTAAGAACCTCGTATCTTTTAAGAAAATTAAATTTATATCAGATTAAATCAGGTCACGAACTCATCCTGCGACAAAAAGTCGAAGAAATAGCGGTCGCATGGGATTGAAATGCGTAGTACAATTTGTAGTGTGTTATATATTTTAGATAAGTCATTTACTACTTGCTTTACGGACTTACATAGACTTTTAAGTTTAGTTTGTGAGTAAATTGAACTATTATGTAAATTTTTGATACATCTGAAAATTTTAGAAGCAACGACTTTATTACTTGTCAAACAATGATACAAAAACGTACGAGTAATGTCTCTCAAAAACAAAAAGTCACGATTCCGTTTTATTGAACAAATGTTTAATTCAAATCGTGTTCCACAGGTAACGGTGTGTTCAAGATTGAGGATTCAGTGCGTGTCGCCAGACTGTGGGGCAAAAGAAAGAACAGGCCTGCTATGAACTACGACAAACTGTCCAGGAGCATCAGACAATACTACAAGAAGGGCATCATGAAGAAAACGGAGAGGAGCCAAAGACTCGTCTACCAGTTCTGTCATCCGTATTGCTTATAAATACTCTTTAGTTTATAAGTAATGTAAATAATTTATTAACGTTGTATATAAGGGTGTGTGAGAGCCGCGGTAATGCGGACGGTACGATGACTGGCTTCGTTTTGCGGCTAAATCGCAAATCGCAGCGCAGTCGCCGAGTTTGTTGACAGCCGAATTTTCTACGGTCCTTTGTATCGACGTGTGTCGTGAGGCCGAGAATTAATAGGCGTCTTGTACACTATCCCTCCATAAAATTCGGGAAAGGTAATTTTCTCTGGAATTCTATTGGATGGGACTATTTGCTGTGTTATGTTTTAGTTTTACCAGCGACTAGACTTACGATCTGATAGTTGTCGAGTTAACGTAAGGTCGTTTTCGTCGAAAGTTGGTAATGTTTATCCCATATATCTATGATATATTTCTAGTACGTTCTATGAACTTTTAGTTAGTTATGTGTTCTGTAAATAATAAGGAAAATGTGCCCTCTATTGTTCGGTACTTATAGTGATTTAAAAGAGATTATTCTCGTTGTAAGGTTTATAAAAATGTTGAATATTTTTGTATGAAATATTAAAACAAAGAAAAAATAAATGTCAATGTATTTTTTTATATTAAAAATAATTAAAAAAAATGACGAGTTACGTCGTGTGTATTGCAATAATAATTTAATTTAAGATTTAATAATATTTAAACATGGCGGAGGATTCGTGCGTTAAAATGTATTTGAATTGGGTTTGAAATTTAATATTTCGTAATTTTGTGCCAAATAGACGATTAGAATTTATTCGGGACAAAATTGTATTGTATAATTGTTTGTAAATTTGGTGTCCCGCCGATCTGTAAATAGTTATTGTATAAATTATTTGCAATTTTGGTGTCGGGATAGTACCTACTAAGGAAATAATAAAATTTATTATCATTATTACTTTATAAGTTAACGCAGTTAGCGTTATGATTTTTTATAATTATGTTTTATGATTATATTGGACCAAACTAATGTAGATTTTATGAATCAATTTTTATATTATGTCATAATAAAATTAAATGGCCATTAAAGTGTTATTTTATTTTACTGACCACATGTCTATGACACAATTTATTGTATTGTATGCAAATGTCTACTGAGTGAAATTACTTTCAAACAGAAAAACATACTTTTAAGACATAAACATAGTTTTGTTTCCATTCCTATAAGCATTCAAGTAGACCGAAAGCTCATTTTTAGAGGTTTATATTTTAAAACACTCACTGACAACAATATATCAGAATGAATAACAACTTTAATATTCTACATAACAAATAATTATTTTACACACGCCAGTAGCAACACTTCTTCATCTATCTACTTAAAATTCACGTCATAACACACACAACCGACTCCCAGATGTTAACAATTGTTTACAAAAACTCGAAACATTGTTTAAAACAAAAATATTTTCAAAATAATAATTACACGTAAATCTGGTCTATATTGCGTCAAATTGCGCAAATATGACGTCATAAGCTCCAACCGCCAAATTCCAAGAGTGAAAGTGCCTTTCGCCGTCCTCGGAGAGGGGAGGACGACCTCCAGAGGGGCGAGGGAGGTGAGGCGGAGGGGTATTGTGTAAGAACACTTGATATTTGACGTTATTATTTCGATATTGTTTGCTTTTTGACTGTAATTAGGTTGAAGTAGGTGACAATGCGTTGTTGAGTCTTCTTTTGACAAATGCCATGCTATTGATAATGGCTGTGTCCAGCTGGATAGAAACAGGTTAATAACGTTTACAATATTGCTAAATTGCTATTGCTTGGTATTGTTCGTCGAATCAGTCAGCCTAACCTGTTAATTGAGCTGACTGTAAACCGACACATGCGTGCTGCCTTCAGAACGGGTGCGCTCAAACTGTTGTGGTTCTTTCCCCAAAAGGCCACTACAGAAAAAACTTGCACGGTTCTCACACATAATCTGTTATACATATTGTCTGGACTTTATAAGAGACAGACCTCTGAGTTTGTTTCGGCATTTCTTCTCAGAGTAGTCAGTTAGGAAATGTTGGCCTCATCGTTCGCTTGATAAAATTGACGTGTAAAAGTTCTGCCTTGTAGCCTATTTGCAGAAATAAATTCATTTGTTTCACTTGTCACTTGTTTCACTTGCTTCTTTAGTTTCATTGCATTTCAGAGTACTGTTTTTTACATATAAGAGAGGGTATTCAATATACAGGTTATCATTGAAACACCTAGGTAGTATGACAGAGCCAAAAAAATAACCCAATGGAGAGAAACTCATAAGGCTATGAGAAAAAGAATCAATAGGTGCTATCTACTTTTTGTTTAATTTCCTCACGGGTTATAATAGTAACCCAAATATATGAAAGTCCAGTTTGAAGATGCTTACATCAGGTGGAGATGACTCAGTGATTTAGGTGGTGTGAATTGTTAAGTACCGTTGCGTGGAATAGCTAAATTGTGAGCTGGCGAACTGAGGCGAAGAATAGGAACATTTTGTCACCATGCGTACTCTTTTCGTGGGTGGGTGTCGTTAAACCCAACTAAGGGATACCACAATCAATAAAAAATATATTTGTGCAGACACGCATTCCATTACTTGGATCCATGGAAGCAAGCAGTGTTCACATAAACACAAAGGCGACAGACGTAACCGTGGGCCCAAACTAGGTACAGCCTGTATTTCGGTGGTCCAAAATTAAGGTTTAGGCTAGGTGGTTTTCGCATCATGGTTGTGACACAGCGCAATTATAAAACATAACATAACATAACGCCTTTTATCCCCGAAGGGGTAGACAGAGGTGCACACAGAAGTAACACCCACTTTACACTATTTATGTTATGAGTCCCATGTTATTACAGGGAGTGAGCCTATAGCCATATACCGGGCACATTTCCAGACTCCGTGCTACTACTGAGATTTTTTTTTTAAATCCAGCAATACTTTGCCTGACCCGGGAATCGAGCGCGAGACCCCTTGCCCGGTAGACGACCAATCGGCCAACAACGCAGGCAGTAACCGTATAAGTAATAGTGAAAGTAATAAATACATTTTCAGTAAGAATAAAGACCTGACAAACCTGAACCTTTTAAAATGCATTTTCCAACTCCAACCGGCCTGCCAAAAGAGCCATTAGACCACCACGGATGGGGACCAATAGAGCTGATGCCGATACAGAGCCATGGACAGCGTAAAAGGTTACTAGGACTGCGGCTCAAACTGCAGGAGTAGGAACGGGGTGGTTTTTAGTCAGTAAGAGTCTGACACCCCCTCCCGCCTCATCCAGCCGTAAGAAGTCTTTCGATGATTTTCCCTCCTTAAAAAACCCACCTGCCCAGGCGTAGATATTATGACAAACTCATCTTTTGTAGAGGAGGTCAGCAGTGGACTGTCTCCCAATGTGGAAGTGAAGAAGCAAACCATTTTTTTAATTTATGCTATGGATTTATTTCATATTAAGGTTGCAAGTACCATAGCAATTCAACCAGACGAGTAAGGCCCTAATTGTTTTTTTATGGCACGAGCAGACGGATCACCTGATGGTAAGCAATCGGCGTCGCCCATGGACACCTGGAACACCAGAGGCGTTACAAGTGCGTTACCAGCTTTTTGGGGATTAGGAGTTTGAGGATCGTTGGGGATTCAGGGATTGGGGAGATTGGGGAAGGGGAGAGTAATTGGGCCTCCGGTAACCTCACTCACACGACGAAACACAACGCAAGCGTTGCTTCACGTCGGTTTTCTGTGAGGCCGTGGTATCACTCCGGTCGAGCCGGCCCATTCGTCGGAACACCAGAGGCGTTACAAGTGAGTTTGAGGATCGTTGGGGATTCAGGGATTGGGGAGATTGGGGAAGGGGAGAGTAATTGGGCCTCCGGTAACCTCACTCACACGACGAAACATAACGCAAGCGTTGCTTTCGTCGGTCGTTGGTACGTCGGTTTTCTGTGAGGCCGTGGTATCACTCCAGTCGAGCCGAAGCATGGCTCTCCCACACTTTAAATGTTTATTTGAAACGGCCTCACAATGTACCATTGCTGCCAGTCTTCTGGGAACATTCCCCAGTGGGGCAGCGGATGGTGACGTGGATGTGCTTTGACGCCTAATTTATGTTTTTTTTTTAATTTCTTTTTTCACAGTTTTAGCTTCAAAGTTATTTTTGTCATAGAATGTATGCTATGTATAGGTAAGTATGACTACACATTTATCATGATTTTTATATCCAAATTGGATAAATGGATAAGACAAGTAAAGAGTGTTTACTGCTTTTAGTAATCACATGATTAGGTGCCTTTAAGTCATTAGTTACCTTAGATTTTGTTTATGTAGACAACATTTACCTACTGAAGGGTAATAATTAAAAGGTAGCTACGATAAGGCTGATTAGGATAACAATAAGGTTGACACTTAAATTATTTGATTAAGCTATTTTATGAAAAAAATTGGAAGGCGGAATGAAAAGGTCCTAACACTGAATCATAATTACGCCTAAGTACTTACCTATATAGATATATAAAAGAAGCGCACAGGTGTCTTATATGTTATCACAATTTAAGTAATAAGTCAATCCGTGCCGTTTTGAGGAAATAAATAAATAAGTACTTAGTTAGGATTGTCATTGACAAATTAATTGATGCCTTAGTTATATTTGGAAATTAAATAACTTTATGCCTACTTATGGTGGCTACTTATTGGTGATTTAAAATCATCCATAAAATAAAATCCAATAGCACCTATTCTATATATCTAAATCAATACTTTTTAGCATCCTTTTGGTGCATTACGTTATCTAGATAATCATCTAGACTAGCTTAATCAAAACTTAGACATTTACATTTTCTGATTGATACTCATTGCATATGCAATATTAAGAAATTAAAATTGTCACAAACAAAACGAACTTGTTATTTTAAATTCATCAAATCGAAGAATTCTTTCTACGATTTTAAATATTATTATTAGTTCTTCATCAACAGGTGTTCATCTTATCTAGTTCTAACTTGATTTGTCTGTCTGTCCACGACAAAAGATTAGGTAGATCTCAAACTGTATAATTAGTCCAGCCATAGGTCAGACAATTTTGGACAAATTGACCATAAATAAGTTGTTTAATCGCTTGTAAACGATATTTAAGCTCTTGTGTCTGGTTGCTGCGATTTGAATAATTTCCTATGTTTCTGTGCGTGGTCTAAAGTGAGAGCGTTGGCGGGAGATGATTTTTTTTTTTAACTTTGCCCCACACTAGGATTTTCTCCTGTGTCATGGGTGCGTTTACAAACATACAAGTTCACATACACATGACACCTAGACCCGGAACAACAATTTGTGGATCACACAAAGTGTTATTCTGTGCGGGAATCGAACCCGCGACACGTTGCACGGCAGCCGGTTGCCCAGCCACCGCACCAACCGATAAAGATAATGAAATCAAAGTTCCAATAAAGTCTATTTATATCAGTTAGAAGAATGCTGTAGGTACTTTTGAAAGTTAACAACTGGAATATGAAAGAGTACTCAACTATTAATTAGTGTCAACACTACAGAACTCAGGGCATTGATGAACAAACTTCTATCTAAGTACTGCATACTAAAATGTTACGCTAATCTAATTCTTATAATGGACATAACCCATGATACTAAGCTAGCGCCAGCACCATCAACCTATTTCAATCTGTCAACTTCAAACAATTCTCCACCCTAATAAAAATCATACACTTCATTAAAAATGATCTAATGGTCTACAATTATGTCACAGCCAGGCCCAAGGGAGACCCCCGTCTCGCTAGATATGTGCCGTAACGGGCGATGCACCGTAGAGGCTCCGGAGCAAGTATCTTTTAGAGGACCCAGTGCCCCTTACAGGCCACCGGGGTGGTTTTAGTGGGGTCAAAATGCCACACTGCCTAGTGTTTTATCCCCAAAAAGCTAGGCGCCCTTTTGAAGATTTCTCCCATCGTAAAAAAAAGGTCAACAACCATGTACCGCGTTTAGCTTAACACTTGCACCAATCCTAAGCTATATAATCTGAAGGTCGGTTACATTCCGAATTTCTGAGTCCAGTCGAGTCGCCTGACGCCTGGTACGGCCGGCTCCGTTGTTGGCGCTCCTAACTTCACAGCTACCTATATCTAATGACTAACTATAGTATGACTAAAGCTTTCGATTTTAACTATAGGTCAAAGTTGTATCGTAAAACTTTAAGTTGATATTCTTGTGGTTTGATATTCAAGTGCTAGGTGTATTGTGGTTTGTATACCTACATGTAAAATTATAATATAGTTAGATTTAGATAGGTATTTTTTTTTAAGGGGGGAAAATCATCGAATGTCTGCTCCCGCCTGGGTGAGGCGGGAGGGAGTGTCAGACTCTTACTGACTAAAAACCACCCCGTTCCTTCTCCTGCACGTCGAGCCGGAGCCCCGGTTATCCGTTAGGTCCTCCGCGACAGATTTAGATAGGTATAGGTTTAGCATAACGCTACTCTTTTTACTTTGTTTGTGTTCAAGGTAGAAAATAATGTTTTATAGATGCACTCAGCCAACGCCATACTATTATTGAAAATAGTAGTTTTTAGGCTTCTACGTCCAATTTTGGTAGTCGCATCTACTCCCTACAAATGGCTCTAAAATACGGTTTTATGGGAAATATCTTTTATGAGGTAGATACCTACTAACATCGTGTCTCGTTGGCCGAGTGGTCGCAAGTACGACTCGGACAAGGGATCTCGAGTTCGATTCCCGGGTCGGGCAAAGTAGTACGGAGTCTGGAATTGTGCCCAGTATGTGGCAATAGGATCACTCCCTATAACATGAGACTAATAGCATAATAAGTGAAAAGTCGGTGTAATATTGTATAGTGGCATTAAGTGGAATAATGTGCTCTACCTACCCCTTCGGGAATAAAAGTCGTGATATTATGCTATGTTCTAAAATCGCTTCGTAGATTTGTTAGATATTCTTCACTGAGTAGGCCAGTAAGTGCACTGAAGAATAGGATAAAATAAAAATTAGGAATATTTGCTGTAAATAATAATGACAAGTGGTACGGAGCAGGTCATGGCTTTTAACACCATTAGAGGTACAAGTGCGTTGCTGAATTTTATCGCAAACATACGATAGGTACACAATTTTCATAAATGACTATATAATTTTCCATACTCAATTGGTTGTGTCAACAATCGAGTTCATCCGGTAATAGGTGCTATGGTAAAGCCTATGTAGATTGGGAAATCTTGTCATACTCATAGAGTTAGTTAAGGAATTTCCTACACTTGGTTTCATTATGTAAGTCCTCTTACGAGTACTATTAAATAAATATAGTAAATACCTGGTGAGTTCATCAACCGCCTATGGAGTGTCTAGCTTAGCCGATGCAAAAAATAATACTTAAACCGCATGTTGATGGCAAAAAGTTTATAATAGACCACTTGAGACAAGTTTTTTGATAAAAAGTGTGAGTTTGTCTACCAGTTTCATAAGCGCCAATAATAAAAAGGTAGGCAGTTAAAAAAGGTAGGTAATTCCAATCTCTGCGTTTGAAATTAAAAATCAACAAATAGTTTACTTAACTCGTCGAGTACCGTCACTATAGACACAATTATAGAACAATTTTTTTTTTTTTTTTTAAGGGGGGAAAATCATCGAATGACTGCCCCCGCCTGGGTGAGGCGGGAGGGAGTGTCAGACTCTTACTGACTAAAAACCACCCCGTTCCTTCTCCTGCACGTCGAGCCGGAGCCCCGGTTACCCGTTAGGTTCTCCGCGACTCCGAATCGGCATCGGCCCTATTGGGCCCCATCTGTGGTGGTCTGATGGCTCTTTGAGGCGCGCGCGGAACGCGACGCGCCGTACGCTCGGGTCTGTTTCTGGTCGGACGGGGAGCCACCCATGCTCGCCGTCCGCAGGCCCGCGCTTACGGTGGCCGGAGATCGTCCCGCGATCCCCGACGCCCGGTGTGTCCTTCGCGATGGCTGGGTTGCGAGGAGGCAGCGCTTCGCTGCCTCACGCGTCCCGCCTCCTCCTTAGCTAGCATGACTGCTTCGCAAAAGGAGGAGACGGCATCCCAATCCCCCTCGCTCCGCATCATGGCCTGCACTAGGCCCGGACGCGAGAGGTCGCCATCGCCGATCACTTCCCTGAGGACACGGCGGTGCTCAGCCCACGAAGGGCATTCTCCCACCGTGTGTTCCACCGTGTCCTCAGGGCGGTCCTCGCAGTGATGACACCCGGGCGTTTCCTCCCGCCCCAAATTATAGAACAATAGGTTGCGGTCACCGGTGACCGCTTGGTGTTTAGGTATTGTTGTTCTATAATTGTGTCTATAATGACGGTAGATACTCGACGAGTTAAACTCAATTACTCGAGTTGTCGAAACTTTATGGTCCTATTAAATTATTATTTATGAAGTTAATTTTATTTGTTTTAATTGAAGTAATCACCCATGCAATCTATGCATCTTTGTGAACACAGTGGCAGTTTATTGATGCCCTTCATAAATCTGATAATGAATATGATGCCATGCAGAAATCAGCTGGATTTATTTTCTCTCGCCAAGAAGTTATTCAAATCCTGGAAAAAGTAATAAGTAGTCTGTAGGCGCAAGCAAGGGCTGGTGTGTAGGGCAGATGGCGGAGAGTTCCAACTCCAGTTTTTACAACTTGGAGACCGTCTGCTGTTTAATATGAGTTCGCGCGTTGTCGTGCAGGAGCAGCGGGGTTGAGCGATCAACCAATACTGGTTGGAAATGTGCTAGCTTCTCCATCATTGAAAAAAGAAACACAACGCAACGCTTGCGTTGTGTTTCGTTGTGTGAGTGAGGTTACCGGAGGCCCGATTACTCTCCCCTTCCCCAATCTCCCCAATCCCTGAATCCCCAACGATCCTCAAACTCCTAATCCCCAAAAGGCCGGTAACGCATTTGTAACGCCTTTATTGTTCCAGGTGTTGGCCGACGCCGATTGCTTACCATCAGGTGATCCGTCAGCTCGTATACTGGCATATGCCATATATTAAAAAAAAATGAGTTCAGTTCTTTACAGTACACATCAGCAGTAATGCTCACCCCATTTGATAAGAAGCTGTGATCAATCACACCGGCGCTGAACCACCAAACAGTGACCATCACTTTTCTAGAGGTAAGTTTTCCATTAGTTTAGGTGTTGAATCAGGATCCAACCAACCTGCTGAACGCTTGCGGTTTGGTCGGTTGCGGTCAAACAGAATTCACTTTTAATCGTAGGTCCCCATGCGGTTCAAAATTCCTTCATTTGTGTGTCTGTTGAGTAGTGAAGGCATGTGTAATTGACGCTGGCGATCATTGAGTTCATGGGCACCCATTTGTCAAGCTTTTTTACCATGCTAATTTGACGCAAATGGACTATTATTGTTTTGACGCTAACGTCAAAGACTGCTGTTAATTCATCCGTAGATTGTATATCATCAGCTTCCACAATCGGCTTTAAATCGTCATTGTTGACCAACGCGTTCGGACGACCGCGAAGTTCATTTTTTAGGGCGAAATTTCAAGAACAGAAGCGAGCCGTGTGTAGCAGTTTGTAGTGTTAGCTCCATCGTTGATGTTGCGTGCTGCTTGTGCCGCGTTGCTTCCACAACCACGACCGTAGGTATACTCTCCATAATACCTACTCGAATTTTTAACGTAGGTATCCAAGATGACGAAAAAGAGAGAAATGCCCCTATACTTATTATACTCTTTGGAGAAATGTGACGAAAATGTATCACTAAATTATAATAAACTAGCGACCCGCCCCGGCTTCGCACGGGACATACAAACATTCCTTAAGAATCACTCTATCTATTAAAAAAAAACCGCATCAAAATCCGTTGCGTAGTTTTAAAGATCTAAGCATACATACGGACATACAGCGAAAGCGACTTTGTTTTGTACTATGTATATAATATATATAAAATAAACAAAAGACTACTTTTGGTTGGAAAAAAAAACGCAAATTTGTAAAATAAAATTACCTAATTTGAAATTAGAATTCTTAACCAAACAAAAATCACTTTGATTAAAATTGGCCATTAGGTACCTATAGTAGAACGGCAATTTCATGAGTAAAGACTATCAACAAGATAGTCAACGACATTGTCAACAAGAAGTAAATAGGTAATGGTAGTAGTCAATACATAGGTTAATAAATTAGTAAATTTAAATATTATTATTTGTGGTAATTCCAATTTTTAACTACGTCGCCATACTACGCCATCTGTTGGTCGTTTCAAGTAATCAGACTATCGAATTAAAAGACTGAATTTTGTCTAGTTCCGTAATTAAAAGTTATATAAAAATTATATCATTATAAAATTATTAACCAAAATGAATCTGTTCCTATATTGATTTTTCTACAAAAATAATATTATCATCGTTGAAGGATCAAAACTTTAATATTATAAAATCAATAAAACATGTTCGTATTATGCGTAACGTGTGAAACGAAACGTAGTAAATTGCGTAGGCCCGTTGACGTCACAATGACGTCATCAGTGTTGACATTTGACATTTTGGTGGAGAATCTTTGTTTTTAGTTTCTGAAATTAAATATTATTATAGCAACAAAAACACAATAATGTATTAAGAATAAAGTTAGATGCAAAGTTAGTGTTATTTTCTTTTATTTGCAGCAGTTTACAATGCTTATCGTGCAGTTGTTTTGGCAATAAAAATATTTAAAGTTTTCGCACGATTCGAGTGGGTTTTTGGCAAAAATATTGGAAAATGAAGCCTGGAAAGAGTGTGGATGTTAAAGATGAGATAGCAGAAGTGCATACGTCTGCTCGTTCTCCGTCTCCAATACAGAAAACAAAAAGATCACGAAGTCGGTCTGGTTCGCGAAAAATGTCAAACGGTCATGCTGCACCTGATGAAACTCCGGCCTCCGAGGAACCAGCAGGAGACAAATCGAAACGAGACAGCTGGATTAAATCGGAACACGAATCCCTCGACACTGAATTACCGATACATGATCAAATAAAACAAGGAATCCTGGGTTTTGTTGAAAAAGAATTAAAAAATTCGGACAAGAACCCATCGTTTGTATTCTACTCCCATGATCCTAATCATTTGGATGAAAAGTTTATGAAAACCTTGTCTAGACCTTCGAGTGGTCATAAGGAAAAGCGGAGTCCTTCATATCGTAAGAAGAAACGGCATTCCTCTAGACATAGGGACCGAGACCTACATGATTTTGATATACCTGGGTCTAGTCTTAGTGCCTTGGAAAGGGTAAGATGTTCAATTAACCAACTATTAATTGTTTATATATGTTCATATATTTCATATACAATATTTTTACTAATTTGTAAGCTCACTAACAATTGATTGCACTGATACAATATTATATTAATCTTTTATACTTAGACTAGCAGACCCAGCAGGCGTTGTCCTGCAAATTAAATTCATTAAAATTAGTTCAGCTGTTTAGGATAAATATAACCTAAACATCAACTGCAGCACCATCTGCCAGGCTGATTTGTGAATCTAAACAATTCCAAAATCCCCTTGAACACACACAAAAAATTTCATCAAAATCGGTCCAGTCGTTTGAGAGAAGATCAGTGACATGCACACTCACAGAAAAATTATATATATAAAGATAAGAACAACACACATACCATACTTCTACTAGCTTCAGTGTGCTTCAGTGCAATTTTAAATGTCTATAACTACCTAATGTCTTTAACACAATGTCAAGTTACATAGAAATATCTAGCAAATAAAAAAGTCTAATAGAATTGCTTAAGCTTTTATATAAAATCCACATTATCTTTATTCTGCATAAATCACTACGTAGTATAAAACAAAGTCGCTATCCGCCGTCTGTCTGTCCCTATATATGCTTAGATCTGAAAAATTACGCAATGGATTTTGATGCAGCTTTTTTTTAATAGATAGTGATTCTTAACGAAGGTTTAAATGTACACCTAATACATGCTAGTTCTATAAAATAAAAATAGACAAACTACAGTATTATCTTTATTTAGAAAAAAATAATTAATTTATCGTTTTAATTTAAAAGTTTCTTTGTGTTATATGTACTTTGTAAAGATAAATATTGAAACATTAAATTGCATATAATTTATAATTATTTTTAATTCTCTTTTCATTTTTATCAGATATCATCTTTTTCATCGCAGGTGGACGACTACCTCAAAGAGTACAAAAAAGATGAAGTAGTAACTCTTAGCGGTGAACTAGAGATTGAGATGAATGATGTTGAGAACAATAATGGTATATCTAAGGAGCTACGGAACAAAACTCGGAAGACTAGAAGGAAAATCAGGGATGAGAGACAAGAGAGCAGTGTCAACGGACGAGATGTCAGCCCTAAAGTGTTTAAGAGTACGAAGAATAAAACTGGGACGAAGCCAGGTAATCAGGATCAGTTGTTTAATTTGTAAGCGAAATGTTAATTTTAGATTGTGACAAAGTATAAGTAATAAAAACCCTTGCGTTGTGTTTCGTCGTGTGAGTGAGGTTACCGGAGGCTTAATACCCCCCCCCCCCCTTCCCTTCCTTCCCTTCGTCTCTGAATCCCCAAAAATCCTCAACAAATCCAAATACCCGGTAACGCACTTGCAACGCCTCTGGTGCTTCAGGTGATTGCTTACTATCAGGTGATCTGCCTGCCCGTTCACCGGCTTATACCATATAAAAACATAATAATAATTTGTTATAACAATTTTTGATTTTTACTAATTTACAAAATTAACTATCTAGAGAATTATAAGTATAGCCTTAGCCAGGTTTTTAAAATAAAACTTTTACAATATAATAAAAATCTAAAGACATCCATGACCAGCCTGAAATTAGGCACTATTTACATAGTTTATTCACCAAAGTTGATAAATGGGATCTTTTGATTAAACTTAACTAAAATAAGTAAAATATTTCTTTTCCAGTTCGCCCAACGGACTTGACAACCATGTTGGAATCTTTAGAGTCCAGTATGCCTTACCATGACCAGTACATAGACAATCCATTCTCATCACCATCTCCGCTGACATCACCTAATGATGAGAGACTGGATCCGTTTGGTTCTCGTAGACCGGAGAAGATATACCTTCAGGGTGGAGGGACTTTCAGAGCGGTGTCCAGGGATAGGATATTGGAGTCTCAGCAGTCTAGAGATGGTGATAAGTACTTGAGGTGAGAGTTATAGCTTCGCAGACGAGTGGTCGTAATTGCCTTGCACTTTAGTGCAAAAGTTCTTAGTAATAGATAACTCGAAGTATGTTACGTTGGAATTAGAAGAAAATTGGCTCAGCCCCAATTTACATTGTTATATAATGTTAAAGCTACTTTCGCCTGTGATACAGGTTTTCCTAATACAGACATATTACTGTATAAGGTCTACATTGTTTGTTAAGATAATCCTTACTAATATAATAAATCGTAAAGTGAGTTTGTTTGTTTGTTTGTTCCACTTTCACGCCGTAACTACTAAACCGATTGCTTTGAATTTTTGCAGACGTAACGTCTATATACTTTGATCCCGGAAATAATTGATATTCTCGAGGGAAAACGAAATTATTGGTATAGGTGGCGCTGTGTGTATTGGTATAAGTCACATATGCCGGAATACTGAAAAGTTACTCAATTTTAAGTCGTGCTTAAATATCGTGCGTCTCTGTCATTTTACTAAGAATTTGTAGAGACAGAACTATACTTAAGCGCGACTCAAAATTGAGTAACGTTTCAGTATTCGGGCATTTGGCTACTTTTTATCCTTTTGTGACGCGAGCGAAGCCGCGAGTAAAAGCTAATATTTTATGTTTTGTATTTTGCTCATTTCATCATCAACAAAGATTAAAAGACTGACTACCTCGTTGGCTGAGTGGTCGCAATTGCGACAGCCGGGCAAGGGGTCTCGGGTTCAATTCCCGAGTCGGGCAAAGTATCGCTGGGTTTTTTAAAAATTCTCAGTAGTAGCACGGAGTCTGGAACTGTGCCCGGTATATAGCAATAGGCTCACCCCCTATTACATGGGACTCATAACATAAATTGTGAAAAGTGGGTGTTACATTGTACATTGGTATAATGTGTACTTTGAGGATAAAAGGCTATGTTATGTTGGTTATGTTATGTTAAAGATTAAAAGAAGAAGTGTTGTAAGTTTAGAATTGAAGTACAACACTTACAAGTCAACACAACTGGTGAAAAGTGGCTGGTACATTGTATTATGGCTATCTATTCTTTCTAATTCATATCACAAAAAGAAGTGGCATTCTTCTAGACATAGGGCCAGAGATTTGCATGATTTTGCATGTCTAGCCTTAATGCTTTAGAAGGGATAAGCTGTTAATATCATTGTATGATACATATAGGATTACTTTAAAATTTCTAATTTAAAAATATAAACATTTAAATAAAATCCTACAATGTTTTCGTTCCATAATTTCAGACTGGGCGACCTTACACCCCTAGATGTGGCATTAACCTTACAAAAAGCCTGGCGTTCTTCGGCTCCAGCTTGCCATGGAGTGCTGGGAGGTCTGTCTTTGATGCACCTGCTCCTCATCAGTTATTCCGATGGGTTAGATGCTGGACACCTCTCGTTTCACGCAGTGGTCACTATGCCTTACGTCGCCACTTATTATTTCTTCTGTGTTCTGTGTCTACTGTCTGTCTTGGATAGGTAAGTGTTTTTTGAAGTGTCTATTCTTCTTATAAGAAAGAAAGAAAAGCCATATATTTTTGCGCAAAACACACATAACATATTTAAAAAATAAAAAAAGCCAAAAAATTAAAATGAAGTGATATCTTGTCCATGGTCCACAGACTTATTATTTTACTGAAATGATAGAATATTTAATATCTAATATTATCTGTGGACCATAGACAAGGAAACACCCTACTTACTTCATATAATAATAATTAATAGTTGCATGCATTTAATATAAAGTATCATAATGTAATTTGAGAGGTTTGATGAGAATATAAATGGCGTGAAACGTAGGTTTGCTAGATAGAAAGGAACGCACAATCGAACCAAAAATACTATATAACTAGAGAATTGTATTGTGAACCTGATTGAAAAAGAGTAATCTATGGAATTTCTTGTTCGTTCTTCTCCATAGAAATATACACCTTGGAATGAGCAAATAGTTTTTAATTTTTTGTTGACGTTCAAAAGTGCCTTACTGGTCTAAATTAAAGAAATTTGACTAAACAATATATTGAGCGGATGTAACTCACATTGCTCAGACTAATTTCTCGGGCGTATAATAGAAATAGCTATACTTATATCAGGAACCATAGTATTTATACCATAATATTATTGTAAACACAGAACTTTCTGCATTCCAGATTGGATGTAACAAGTCTAGACCTGACTAGAGGTCTACAACCATACTTCCAGCCTATAGTCCTGGTGATGCTGTACACAGCCTGTCTGCTAGTCTGCACTGCAGCCAGGATGTATGATGAGCTGATGGTCTACCAGTACGCGCCACTAGTGAATAATATTACTAGCAACAACGTCACCACGGTGAGCTGTGACTTTTTCATTATCATAGATTATTATGGTCCGCAATCATCTTACCGCCGGTAAGATGGTAATAAAAAAGATTTGAAAGTCCAGGGTGCTTACCTACTCTTGAAACCAAACTCAATGTCATCGCAATTTCAATCCAATAATTTTTTTTTTTTTTTTTAAACGTTGCCCCACACTAGGATTATCTCCTGTGTCGTGGGTGCGTTTACAAACATACAAGTTCACATACACAGTGACACCCAGACCCGAAACAACAATTTGTGGATCACACAAAGTGTTGTTCCGTGCGGGAATCGAACCCGCGACACGTTGCACGGCAGCCGGTTGCCCAGCCACCGCACCAACCGTGCAAAATCTCAACAATTATTCAATGTCAAAACGATACAACCATATTCGTAGCTGTTATTGTAGCATTTAGAGTACGGGATATAAAACCAAACTCAATACCATTTAGTTCATTCAATATCCACACAATACGGATGCAATGGGCGCTAGTGTTGCAACTCAAGAGTACGAAATTTCGCAATACCAATGTCGATCGATCGGAATTGGCTTCAAGAGTAAGCCACCTGGTTGTGTCTGGCCCAGTCAAGGAAGTTAATAATAATATTAGGTTTGGGAAATTCTTAAATTTGAATGAGGTAGTAACAAATTTAAATGCACATGACATTAACAGGCTGTTGTCGTCCACTGTTGGACATAGGCTTCTCCAATGGCACGCCATTTAGCTCGATCTTCAGCTCTACGCTTCTAACCACTACCAGCTGTCTTGCGGATATCTTCACTCCACCTAGCTAGAGGGCGCCCTAGGCGTTTGCCTAGACGTGATCTCCACTGCAAAACACGTCTACCCCAACAGTCATCGGTTTTTCCACAAATGTGACCGGCTCATTGCTATTTCAGTTTGCTAATCCTTCGTTTTACGTCGGTATATTTAGTTCTCTGTCGGATCACCTCTTAAGGATCCTATTCTTCAGATAGACTTCCAGAATAGCTCTATCCATAGCGCTGACCGCTCTCCACTCACTATATTATAGACCTTATTTCTGATGTTTAGAGACTACTTTTGTATGAACAAATTTAAATGATTTTCAACAGGTTAAGAGTAATATAACCTTTCTTTTAATTTCCAGCCAACAATACCAACTTTCTATCATACTTGGACGCATTTTTCAATATGGCGCGCAGTCCTATCAATACTAGGTCTGGTCTACTTCATCATATCGAACCCTCAAGATCTAGTCTTCAGTAACCTAAGCAAGTTATTGCAATTCAAGCATTCCCTTCAGAGCATTGGATGATTCTTCTTGAGGCTTAGTGTAAGGTATGTACTTAAGTTAAAGTCTTGCCATGGATTTATAGATAACACTATTCACTAAATAAAAGTTCTATACCTTACTCACATAACTGTTTGACGAGGTAACTTGACTTCCATTCTATGAGTCCCTGGTGGAGCTTGAAACTAGTTGAGGCACCTCGTCGAACAGTTATGTGAATAAACCGTAAAACGAAATAATGTTATTCATAAACAATTGAACTTATGTAAACCTACTTAGTCATTTTAATTTTTGGTGTCTGATTTTTTATTAATTTATCTTCATTTTGAAGGTTAAGATAAGTAAATTTTTGCATATGAACTAAAAATATTTTTTTTTCTCACAAAATGCACACATGTCTGTGTTTTAAGTTAAGTTTTAATGAATATTAAGTTAATATTGCTGGAAAAGAAGGAATTTCAGTATGATTTTATTTTCTGTTAATATGTATAATAGCATAGATAGCAGTAGTCGAATTTATGTCTTGAATCTCATTTTAGCACAAATGTACTCGTACAAAACCAAAGATACATTTTGTAGCTATAAAAGTATAGAAATACAAAAATTATGATTTCCAACGCAAGTACAATTTTTGTCTAGTCACAGTTGCATTTATTTAAATGATATATACGTAAGTACTATATTTTTACTTAAGCCATATGAGTATTAAATACACTATCAAAAAGTGTTATTTTATTTAAGACATATTACTCACGCGCCACTCTTGTTAATTTAATAAAAAAAATGTCTGATAAGATGCGAAATGAAACTTTATTTGTTATATATTATATAATAATTTATTTATATTATTATGTTATATATTATAGTGTCAACCATTACAATAATTACATGCCAAATATCCAAAAGAAATAAACCTATATTTTTTTAAACCCATTATTCTTTAAACCTCTATAGAGTTAAGGTCGAAATCAGCTTTCTTCCTATATCGTATTTATAGCATTATTAAAATTTAAAGTAACTTATATATATAGGTAACTGTTTATAAATGTTTTATAATAATTACAAATACATTATAATACTATATATTATAATAATTATAATTAAATACCTACAATTGAAGTTTACAATTATAAAAAAGTAATTTATTATTTTTGCTATAGTAGGTTCCACTTATAAAGTAAGTCATTCCAACATATATTTATAATAAGATCTCGGCAGCTATTAGCATTAGATTATTATAATTCTAAAATAAAAACTATCTAGTCAGTTATTTTAAGGGACCATTGCTAATATAAATTATTTGCGGCAGCTACACATTTTAAATAAATTCTTATATATAAAACTCTAAATCATAATAGCTACCTTTATATTTATAATTTAGAAACACGTGAATGGAATTGTATAATTTATTACGATTGTACATTTAATTTTATACATTTTCACTTATAATTTATTATATATAAAATTAGACTGAGTGTAATTGGCAAATATGTAGAAGATTATCCCTACATATAATTGTAATAAAGCCTAATTCTATAAAATGTTCATGTATAATAAATAACTATCTATAATATAAATGAAATATAAACCATAAATATAATAAAATATGTTGCTGTTTTAATCTTAATTTGTTTCTATAATATGTATATGCATAAGCAAGTACTTAAAATTTCTTTTTGTGTTAATAAACTATTCTGGTATTGATACCAAAGATTATAATAATAATGAATATACGCTTTTGTAATAAGAAAAGATACTATTTTGGTTTAAAAAATATATATATATATTAACTAGCGGACCCGACAGACGTTGTCCTGCATATTATTACGATATTTCAAGATATTAAGGTTTAAATAATCTAGACACCGACTGGACGCCATCTGCCGAGCTGATTTGTGAATCTAAACCATCTAGGGTCCCACTCAAACGCATACAGAAAAATTAATTTTAATCGGTCAAGCCTTTTAGGAGGAGTTCAATGACATACACACGTACAGCAGAATTATATATATAAAGATCTTAAACATATAATGTATTTCTATGTGACACCCCATATTGGAACATTATTAAATGAGTGTTTTAAGTGCTTATGTATATTGTCTGTCTGTCTATATGTCTCATCATCATCAATCATCATCAACAGCCTATAAATACCCACTGCTGAGCAAAGCCTCTTCTCACACGGAGAAGGTTAGAGCGTTAATCACCACGCTTGCTCAATGCGGGTTGGCGATTTCAAACTTATAATTAGAAATTATAAGTCCAGGTTTCCTCACGAAGTTTTTCCTTCACCGTTTGTCAGTGGTGTCTAAATAGTCTTAGAAAATACATATAACTCGGAAAAAGTCACATTGGTACTTGCCGTTGGTAGGTTTCGTTTCGTTTACCCTCATGCATGAGAAGTGGGCGTCTTAAACCTCCGGGCCACCACGACATTTTTATGTATGTCTGTATGTCTGTATGTAAGAAAATATTAATATGTATGTTTATTAATATGTGCTATATCACAAATATACCTAATATAATACAGAACTGTTCGTAGAAAAATGTGTTGTATGGACATACATATATAATTCTGTATTGTATTGATGATTCGTATATGTATTGTCGTATGTATGTAACTTTTTAAGTTGTGTGATTGGTGTATTGTAAGTAGATTTCAATAGCACAAATTATAATCTCATTTTTTGTTCTCAATTTTTATAAGTAAAATGATTTGTATTTTTTGAATAATTTTATTTGCAAAAGTAATGTTAAAATTAATTTAAATTTATTTTAATGGTTTCAAATCTCTTATTTTCCTTATTTGTTATATAATATCAGAAATAATTTTAAGTTCCTGTTGAATCAAAGCAATACACGATATTTATTAATAGAATAATTTGCAGTCATTTAAATTTAAATAGACATTAAGCAAAATATATCAAAATAAAATGACCAGGGGCGTAGCTAGCGCCGTATCTGCCGTATCAATTATATGGGGCCCCCGGACCACGGGGGCCCCCAACGTGTGTAAGCAAAAATATAAAAACTTTTCAATTTATATTTTATTTTAGTAATCACAAAATACATGCGTTTAAAGGTTGGCAGAAACCATGGAATAGAGAAATCTATTCCATGGCAGAAATTTTGGAAAAACTAAAGTACCTTAATCATTGTCCGATAATTTGAGCAGAAGAGGTACCTAAAAAAAATTTTATATGGGGCCCCGTCAAGCTACGCTACGCCACTGAAAATGACTATAATAACTGTTAGATAATATGATACATGTATGTAAATTAATCTAATATCTTCTTATAATATAAATAACACATATAATATTGACTGTTGACTATGTAATTCAAATATAAATAAATAATTGATTGATTTGTGATAAATTAGTCTTTTTATTATTATATCAATTTACGATTTCTAGTTTTTTATGGGATAAACCGGGAAACGAACAGACGGATCATTTGATGATAAGAAATCGGCGTCGCCCATAGACACCTGGAACAGCAAAGGCGTTACAAGTGCGTTACCGGCATTTTGGGATTAGGTTAATTTGAGGATTGTTGGGATTTAAGGGATTGGGGAAAGAGGGGGTAATTGGGCCTCCGGTAACCTCACTCACACGACGAAACACAACACAACGTTGTTTCATATCGGTCTTCTGTGAGGCCGTGGTATCACTCCGGTCGAGCCGGCCCATTCGTGCCGAAGCAAGGCTCTCCCACACTTAAAAATTAGTTAAGTAGATATAATTAATGGTATTAACAAATCTCGTGAAAAAGGTCATTTCTGTTTAAAATTAATACAAAAATTGCAACGTAGCTATGATATAATTAACACATAGATTAAAGTAATCCATAACTAAGGAGATGTTTGCAGGAAACCCGTTCCATATTTTGTACTTTGAGGTAGAAATGTCAATATATTCCAATGCATCGTATAAGGCCTCGCGTAGTTCTTTATCTGTATAAAGATTTTAAATACAAATAAATAATACAAATTGAAGGGTTAATAAAATACAATTCGATTGACTTTTTCTATTTATAAACTAGACTCTTTATAATTTTTATAGACTAGGATCAATAGTAAAAGACTATGTTTTTCAAACTTAAACTCCTTAACTGGACTCGGAATTCTTATCGAATTAAATGTAGCAAGATTATATCACACTCATTATCTTTACTTCACCTGTTTGGCTTGACTATATATAAGCCTATACAGGGTGGAATTTTGTAATGCCACCTAAAGAGGAAGTAATCTTAATACTTAAGATAGAAAATTTTACTCATGGAAAACATTCCTTTATTTTAAAAGAAACAAAACTGCAATCGAAGATTTTTAAAAATTAGCCCGCTTTGCGGTCTAATTTTTCAACCAACTAAAATCTCAAGTCAAAGTTTGCCCTCTGTAGGTACTTTTATTGCATCGATCGTTCATTGTTTTCCTTTCATTAAATTTATGAAGTTTGTTAGAGAGATTTCATTCTTAGTGACCCTAACAATCGATACAATAATGTATGTACTTATGTATATTGTACAAATGCAACTTTTGTCGATTATCGTGTGCGGCGAGCGAATTTTAAAACGCATTGATTGCAGTTTTGTTTGTTTTCAAAAATAAAGGAAAGTTTTCTTTGAGTAAAACTTTCTATCTTAAATATTAAGAGTACCTACGTCCCCTTCAGGTGGCATTACAAAATTCCACCCTGTATATATAGGCCTCCAAAGCTTAGGCATACGCTAAAAGCCTTGGAAGTTTACCTCCGATATCCCATATAAAAATATCTATAAACTAGTAAATACCTTTATAAGTCAACAATTCGTTGAGTAAAATTTTCTTTATCTCGTCTAAATCGTTAGATACGACTTCCATTAGCAACATTGGTATGGATATAAGACTCACTGAGAATGCCAATTGCATCATCCATATAATAACTTCTGGAACAACCTGTAATCGATTCTGATTAGGAGTCAGGACAAACTCCAATCAAGTAAATAAAGGCTAGCGCTCACTGCCGGCACGGTACGGCGTGGCATAGCAACGAATTTTATTACTAATCAAGTAAATTTAGAATCTTACTTCAATGAGTTTAGAATTCATGTTACTTTATTTTGATACTACGATGATACTGTGTCAAAGTCAAAGCATTTGTTTCCATTAATACTTAATTAGGCACTTTTAAAACGTCAAAAAATGAATTTTCCGTCCGTCTGTTTGTCAGTGAAGCTAGGCGCTCGTACCGCGGGGTCCTGAGGCCTATAGTACGAGTTTCTTTTACGCTTTAAGTAATCGTGACGAGTACGCGTTCGGCGCTCTGATTGATTGGTTCATTGGCGCCGGCCAATCGCTCTGATTGAAACTCGTACTAAGGCCTTTGATTAGCCGGTGCCAATGAACCGACCAATCAGAGTGCCGAACGCGTACTCGTTTCGAATACTTTAAATGTAAATGAAACTCGTACTAAGGCCTCTGTTTGCAATGCGGTGGCATGCCACGGTATACCACGGCATGCCTCTAAGGATGTTAGTAAGTCAGGAAAAACATACTCTAGCTAAGAGTGAAGAAAAATATACCCAGGTAGGTACTCATTAACAGAGTCGGACTGGTCAGAAGAACTCAATAGGCCACGGATTGAGATCGGTATTGAGTATACCTAAATTCAAGATGTTTAAAAAGTTGGTCTGTTGTCAAAGCTTAAGCAGTAAAGTTGGTTTTAATTCATTCTTACCCAAAACGGCAAGGAATTCAAATAAAACACCGCAATTATTATTTTAATGAATTCACACGCATATGCTACGAACATCTGAAACAATGGAAACATAATTTGAGATATTTTTGATAATCTCCTTCGCTTTAACTAGATTAAGTACATATTGTAAGTAACAATAAAATGTAAGTTGGGTGTGTGCTATTCTCACCGCGCTGGTTGACCCGCGTGCTGATTATTATGGGC